TTTTTTGGTTCATAAAAATTTAATGCCCATATACTAATATGTCCCACATAGGTAAGTAATTTTTCAAAATTATTTGCCTCCACCAGACTCATTATGGATTGCGTCAATATCAATATTAACCAGTAATTGCACCCACACCCTTCAAATATCATCTGCAGTTACCTTCGCAAAAAGCTCACTTATATTATCACTAAAACAATTAAAATATTAATATTGGTATTTAAAAAAAAAAATATAAAACAATATTATATTATTTTATCTTTTCGCTCTTTTTTGCAACTCTAAAAACAATTTACTAATTTTTTGCCAAAGGACATACCGCCACTCAATAAAGGTAGAATGAAATTTTGATGCCACTTTATTAAAATTTTGTTTACCAATCTCTGGCACCAAAATTTTTAGAAACCTTTTGATAATTCCATTATATTTGGCATCATCAAGGTTCCTACAACAGATAAACAGTGCATGCATCTCATTTCTAAAAATTTCGCTAACCCATTTTGGAAACTCCTTAATAATACACAAAATGTTACATACTATAATTAGTAATAATTTATTATTAAATAACATTAACCATAAATAGTAATGAGACTAACGCTAAACAATCATAATATAAACCAAAATTATAATGATATATACACGATATTTAAACAACTATTCTTTTAACCTATTACTCTCATTACTATTGATTAGAGTATCCAGACTCCTGTAATTTCAGGAATTTTTCATTGTTCGAACAATGAAAAATTTCTGAAATTACAGGAGTCTGGATACTCTAGCCAAAATATTATTAGTAAATAACCATTACCTTATGGGCTATATAATGAGCAGAAAGTTGCAGACATCATAGTTCTTCCATGCTTCAAAAATAACATAGGCACGTTGTATGCTTGTCGTGGCATAAATGGGAAACTCCTATTTTTGTAATATTCCAAGGGGAGGTTTAACCCATCCTTGCGTAGCTCTGTTTTATAACTATCTGAGGCTTAACTGAATGTGGCGAATATGAAAAATCATCAGGACTCTCGAAATAAAAATCAGCCAGCAAGATTGGAGTTAATGATCGTGATAGAATTGGAGTAGTTGATTGAGATCGTCTCGACGTATTTGGAAAAATAATGTTTATCATAGCATCTACACCGTTATTAATGAGATCGTTGGTGAGAAGCCCAAATCTATTTCGCAGAGCTATAAGAGTCGTGGAATGATCATTGTTAATATAATATTCTAAGTAATTTAATACTATATTAAGATCTAATTTTATAGAAAAATATATATATAAATAAATTAAATTTATTAGGATAATATTAATTAATAAATTTTAAATCAACCTTTTAGTAACTATATAGCAACAATATCGTAACGATATTGTTGCTATGTAGTTACTAAAAGTTTGATTCTTTTATAAATGATAATTTTTTTAAACAGGAATACCAGGTGAACTTTGAATTTTATATGATACTAGCTAGAAACTGGTTGAGACTGTAATTGGTGAGATTGTTAGTAGGACTGTTGGACAGAAGGTTGTTAAATGGGAGGTAGTTAAATAGGAGGTTGTTAGATAGAAGGTAGTTGGATAGGAGGTTGTTGGATAGGAGGTTGTTGGATAGGAGTTTGTTGGATAGAAGGTTGCTGAATAAGAGATTGTTGAATAGAAGGTTGTTAGATAGGAGATTGTTGAATAGGAGGTTGGAATTGTTGAATAGGTTGAGCAGAGTAAGATTGTTGTTGAACAAGTTGGGTTGAAGATCGAGATTGTTAGACAGGAATGGTTGAATATCAAGATTGTTGGACAGGAATGGTTGAAGATTGAGATTGTTGGCATTTTGTACTGTGGTTGAAGAAGATGGAACGTTTTGAGAAATAGCTCTTCATTTTCTAGAAAACATTTTTTTTAGAATATTTTTGAAAAAAAAATTATAAACTAAAAAAGAAAAAAGTTTTTCTTTTATAAAATAAATTCCAAAAATTCCATCATGTAAAATAGCAATTTTTTTTTAAAAAAAAAATTTTGTTATACAAAAATTATGATTTTTTTAAAAAAAACATTCGTCATGAAATTTAACACGTAAAAATTAATGCAAAATCTGTCGTAATTATAATGAGTTATAGCAAAAAAATCATTGTAGCTAATTATAATTATGTCAAATTTCAACAGTATATTTACTTTAGCTAGCAATTAATTTGGGCATTAAATAATATTTATTACTTTTTTAATACTATTCAAGTTTAAAAATATTACAGTCAAACCTCTATATACACTCTTTGGACTGACCATAAGTGTGCATTTGTAGAAGGTGTACATTTATAGGATGCAATTATAGAAGGTATGTATTTATAAAGTTTGTTTGTATAAAATATAAACAAGTTTGATCATTTAACTTCCCATAAAATACTTTAAAAAAAAAAATTACAATAAAATTTAGGCTTTAACTAAGGTGTAAATTTAACTTGGGCAAATAATATAAATATATAAATTAATTTTTTATATCTTTGGACTTCGATCTTAATTGACTATTAGTTGTTTGATTACCAACACTAACCAGAACTCGACTAGAGAGTTGATATTAATCAGAACTTGACCAAAGAACTAGTTAAATGAAGTCATTGGCTTGGAAGATTTTTTGAGGCTTGGAAATTTGCTGCAATTAAATAGTTTTCTTTATTAAATTCTTTAAAATTGTGAAATTTGTTAATATATTATTTAAGAATATTTTAGCTATACAACTTAATAGAAAGATAACTAGTAAAAACTAAGATATGGTAAAATTCAAAAGATTCACCATGTTGAATAGCACAAATCAAATTCTATTCAAACTGCCATTCAACACTATCACATGATTTCAAGGACATGAATGTTTGTAAAATCATGTGATAGTGTTGAATAACAATTCGAATGGCAGTTTGAATAATATTCGAATTATACCATTCAATAGAACGAATCTTTTAAATTTTACTAGTGGAAAGGGCTTTGTATAAAGAAAATATCAGAAAAGAATGTAAGTAATTACTAACAGGAAGTATGAGGGCTTGCATTTTGGTAAATCACAAATCACATAAGCAAGTGTGAAGTAAATCAAACCATAATTAATTATTTATTATTAAAGATTTTCACAGGTTTTTTTTTTAATAATGTCAAAAATTAATCTCATTATTTTTTAAATATAACTAAAAGTACAATTTTTAAAAACATACATAATTTTTTTATATCACCTTTTTATTAATTGATAGCTTTTATTATGCTCTTCTTGTTAATAACCTCAGTTTTACAAATTTAATATCTTTAAAATTAGTCAAAGCTCATTTATATTGTTAAAGAATTTATGACTTATAATAGAATAAATCCATTACATTAAATTATACTAGTTTAAGAAAAACTGTATGAAAATTGTTATTCGCAATAGTTTTAGATTTTCATAAAAAATTTTTATATGATTTTAACTAATGATAGTTTGATGATCAAAGACATTTACTAATTTTTCAAGTTTTAATTAAAATTCACAACAACAATTGCTTTTTTTTTTAAGTCACATTTATCACAAAAGTTTGTCTAAGAAATCACTTTTTATTTCTAATGAAAAAAATTTCATGCAAAATTTTAGTATATTGTTACAACTAACCCTAATCTAGTGATTGGACCTGGGTAGATACAAACTAGATCCAATAGAAGAATATGGACTATAAGGATATTAGGGATGTTAAATGGTTCACGGGGAACTAGTTTGGGCCAGGTCCAAACCCAAACTTTTTAGGAACTAGTAGGACTAGTTCAAAACTAGTTCTATAATTTTGTGATCTCAAGGTCATTTAATTGGCTAATTTACATCGATCTAAATGCAATTATAATACTAAAACGAATTTAATATAATTATAATTAAAACACAATACTCATTCACTATTGTTCTGTACATTTAAACCACTAAAGTAGGACTGGTTTTTATCTATTTTTTAACAGAGAGTGAACTCATTTTCAACTAGTTCTGGACCAGACTTTCGAGGAACAGACCAGGACCAAACCAGATGTACTACTTAACATCTCTAAAAAATATAGTCTATAAATGCCCATATCTAATGGTCCATATTGTCCATGTCCATATTTTTGCCAACACTGATTTGAAATAAATTGTCATAAAATCAAATAACAATTATAGTAAAGTAATTGTGGCAACTTGACAATTAAATCTTCACCAGATCTAATAAAAGTTGTAATAAGATAGTCGTAATATCGTAGCAACTTAATTTTTTAAAATTGTTATGAAATCTTAACAAAATTGTTACTAGATTTTTGTGTAGCTATAGAAAGATTGTTATAATATTATAGCAATTTAATTTATCAAAATCGTTATGGAATCTTAACAAAATTGGTACTAGATTTTTGTATAGCTGTATTAAGATCATCGTAATATCATAATGATTTTATTATCAAAATCGTTATGGAATCTTTACAAAATTGTTACTAGATTTTTTTGTAGCTGTAGAAAGATCATTATAAAATCGTAGCAATTTAATTTTTTAAAATCGTTATGGAATCTTAACAAAATCGTTACTAGATTTTTGCATAGTTGTATTAAGGTCATTGTAATATCGTAATGATTTTATTATCAAAATTGGTATAGAATCTTAATAAAATTGTTACTGGATTTTTGTGTAGTTGTATTAAAGTTGTCGTAATATTGTAACGATTTTATTATCAATATTATTATGAATTTTAACAAAATCGTTACTAGATTTTTGTGCTATAGTTACAATGTAACAGCTATGAGGTAAAAATATTGTTGCATTATAAATCGCCACAAAATTTTTTTAAATTGTAGTTATATTGTAATAACATCGTCACTATATTGTAACAACATCGTCAAAAATTTACAAGTTTCTGTAAAGTACTTTTTTTTTTTAGTTTATTAAATATTTCTTTCTTCTTTCTAGTTTATTAAATATCTCATTCATTTGTTCTTTCTAGTTTATCAAATACCTCTTTTCTCTATAATTGTTTTATAAACATGTTGTATAATAAATTTGGAACAAAAAATAATAAAAATAATAAAATTTTTTCATTAAGACAAAGATTTTCTTATAATATTTCTAAACCTTTAACACAAGATTCTACAATGCAGTTAGACTATTCTTTCATATATTCTTCAGATGAACCAATGAAGTATTATGAAGAATCTAATGAACATTCTTTTGAGAAAGACAATATTAGTTACCATGATAAGTCTGCTATATATTCTTCAGAAGAATTAGATGAAGATATAAATTCTTGTAAAGAATTTACTTCTGAAATAGTATTAATTCTTGCAATGAATTAAGCAGTAATAGTTTATCAACATCAGTTGAAAATGAATTTTTTGAAGATATTGCTGACAAAGCTTTAGATTTGAATAAATTGTCACAAAATATTAGTGAGTTTTCACTATATTTTGAAAATACAACTACTGCATTAATGTTTAGTTGAATACAAAAGAATAGTATCAGTAATATTTAATTTAAATTAATATATAAATTTTTAAAACTTAAACTATTTTAATTGAAAATATTAATTATTTTTAAAAAAACTTTAGCTACTAATGCATATGATGAACTTGTTAAAATCTTTCATCATTCCCAATTCAATCTTAATCATGTGATTAAGAATATTTGGTCCTTTAGACGTTGGAGGCAAAGACTTCCTCTTATACCAATATACTCAAGACCTATTAATATTTCAACTATGAAGACTTTTTCAAAGTCTAACAAAATTAAAAAATGCTATTATTTGTCAATTAAAGATATAATTTGAAATGTTTTAAATAATTCTTCTTTAATGCAGCATATATATTTTGGATCTGGTCAAGCAGTTACTCATAAATCAGAATACTAGCATAGTAACTTATAGTCCAAATCTCCTTTATATAGTCAAGAACCAATAACTATTAATAATAGTAAGTTATTATTAATATTTAGTAATATTTATTAATTTTTATTTTATTTGTTTATTTTTTAATTTAATTTTTATTTTTTTATTTATTTTTTTTAATTTAATTTTTATTTTATTATTTATAATTTTTAGAAATTTATAATATGGGAGATTTTATTTATTATCTAGAGAATGGCATAAAATTAAGATGAATTCGAGCTATAGTTTTAGCAAATGAAATTCTAAAACTAAAGGTCCAAAAAATTATAAATTTGATGAGCTTCCAAAAAATATTCAAAGCAGTAACCATCAAGTTAGTTTCCAATTAGGAGAGGTATAGTTAGTTAACCAAGTTATTAATAACTTGGTTAATAGGCATAAAGTTATTAGGAATACAAGCATTACTATCTCATCTTATAATAAAGAACATTATTCTTATTATCTAAATGAGATTATTTATAAATTTAAAGGCTATTGGAAAATTCAAAATATTTTATTAGAATATCATCATCCTTTCGAATATGCAACAGTTTCTTTACCACCAAGTAAAAATATATCAGTTTTCAAAATATTTCTAGATCTTTATTATTATGACTTTAGAACATTTCTCAAAGTATTTCTAGATCTTTATTATGATGACTTTGGAATATATCGAAATGTATATCATTTACTTGGTAGTGTTTATATACAATTTGATAACATGCCAATTTCTTTAAGGCAGCAATTAAAAAATTATTTTGTATTGGGATTTGTATCCTTTGGTGGATTATTTGATGAATTTATTAGACCATTTATTATAGAAATAAAGTCTTTAGAAAGTGGTCAAATAATAAACATTTAAGGCCAAGAGTACTGGGTTATTGCTAGTCCTGGAGTAGCTATAGCAGATCTTCCACAAGAAAATAATCTTGCTGGTATTAAAAGATATGTGCAAATAAGGAATGTTGAACTTGTCAAGTTTCTAAAAAAAATTTAACAAATAATGATTTTGATTTTAAAAACTTAGCAAGATATCAGCATATTACTAATAGCCAATTTCATGAAATTGCATCAGCTGAATCTATGAAAGAGCGTAAGTTAGTTGCAACTAAATATGGGCTGCGCAATAGTATTCTAATATTAAGTCAACTAATATGAGATCAGCATCTTCAAACACCTCAAGACATCTATCACGCAACTGCTAGAAAAATAATGAGGCTTTTAAAATTAACAATTAATTTATTTTTACCGGAAGATCAAAAAGAATTTATTAAAGCCTGGAAAAATTTTAAATATCCAGCACACTGGAGATATTTGTCTAATCTAATTAGTCACCATAAAAGTTTTATGATGTCTAACTACCTTCATTTAGCAATGGTTATACCATTTATTCTTAACTGAACTTTAAAAACTTGGTATATTAAAAGTGCTAAATTAACAAATATTCAGCAATGAATAAATGCTAATCGTGCTGATTTGTTTTCTAAATCTTTAACTAAATGTTGGGTTTTAGTTGCAAAATCAGTACAATTAGTATTTAAAAAATCATATTCAATAGATAATTATGAAAATTTTCAAAAATGTTTGGAGACAGAAAGCCATATATTAACTCAAGTAATTATTATTTATTTATATTAATATTATAATATATATATAATTTATAATAAGCCTATTAATAATTTTTTGTTAGGTTTTTGCTGAATTTGAGAATATTCCAAATCTTCACA